TAAGTGTGTATGATTTATTTGAATCTCATAAATTACTTATATTTTTAATATTTAATTTATTTCTGTTTGATATTACCGTTTACTGTCAACAAAGTTCCGTCCAAATTCAAAAGATCGAAGCGGATCCACCAAATCCAAATGTTGGTGAAGGTTTAAAAGTGAGATGTTTCTTGATTAATGTTGATCCATTCTCTCTTTATCGTGTACAATTACTCTGGAGTATAAAACGAAATGGTATGTAGATAGAAAGATGAAATATCGTTAATTATTTCGGTTTTTTTTGTTATAAAAGGATTGGATCGTGATTTTCGTATTTTGGCGTATGGTGGATCTGTTCGCGATACGTTAAGTGGTCGTGTTAGTGCTAGAAAAGAATCAGAAGAAGTTTATGAAATCGTTTTTCGTCCCATTCAAGAAAGTGATACTGGTGTAGTTCGTTGTGAATTAGCGAATACCGAAGCTCAAGTGAAAGCTGATCGAACAATCAATGTTCACGTTCCACCATCGATAATATCAATCACAAGTGATTTGCAAGTGACAGCTGGCGATGAAGTAACATTAAATTGTGCTGCAAGTGGTAATCCGATGCCATTAATTATGTGGGTACGAGATGGTCAAGAATATCCGACATCGTACAGTTCTGTCTATAAAATTGATCAAGTGAGTAAAGAAGATCGTGGCCTCTATAAATGTGTTGCACAACAGCAAACAGAGCAAAAGCAATCAGCTGAAGCGGTTGTGAATATATTTGTTGATTTTGCTCCTACTGTGACATGTGAACAAGAGATTATTATACAAGTACCAAATATAAATGCGGATGCTGAAATAACTTGTATAGCCGAAGCTTATCCAATGAATGTATTGAAATGGGAATTTTCACAAGGTAACACAAATGTTCGAAAAGCAATAGCAATCGGTGAACACTATAGAATCGATACAAATGTAGCTGCGGATTCTATTGATAGTCGATATTCAAGTCGTCTGACGGTTAAAGGTGTAACACAAGCAGATTTTGGAAAATACACATTAATTGTCATGGATGAAAGTAAACGACAAGCGTATTACATGTATCTCTTATTCTGCATAAAATCTTGAAAAAATTTTAAGTGATGATATTTTATCGTTTGTCTGCATGCATTCAAATAATGATCCATATTTAAAATTATCTCTCGCATTTAATCAATCATAATAATAATACAATATAACAAGACAAACAGATAGATAAAATAATAGACAAAGACAGTAGATTAATAAACAGAAATTCACTAACGAAAAATCACAATCAGTCTGGAAAATGAATTAAATTACAATAAAAAAATACACACACAAACACAAATCGTTTATGGATTATAATTGAATGAACGATGATGAAAAAAATATCGTCGATAAGTAGATTTACATGTGTATGATTTTAAAAAAACAATATGAAAGTTTAAAAAGTTTATAAACAACGATCCATACTTTGAGTACGCACTTCAAGCGTCAAGGCAAAAAGTGTGAGTGCAAACCTGTCAAAAAGCTCAGTTTTTTCATTAACTTACGTGAAGGATAAGCCAAAATAAAAATAAAACGGGAAAAATGTCTTTTGAACACCGAAAAAAGAGACATAACACGTTTGTTAAATGAACAAACAATCAAAAGATAACGAAAGTGCTCTAATAAACGTATTCGTATGTATTTCTCTTCAAATGATCACGTCACTGATTGTATTCAATATTTGCTACAGAGGTTATGTGCCTGTCAAACGTTCAATCGTTGAAACAAGTTATTCAAATCTCATCACGTTTTAACCTTTTTGCTCATTTAACAGACAAAACAAGTTGATGCTAGTGCTTAATACTCAATATTTGGTGCTAAAAAAATTTGGAATCCAATAAAAACTATTGCATACAGTTTGTCTTTTCATTAAAAACATAAATGTGTTCAAACGGCTATTTTATTTGCTTCTGGTAGATAATGTTCCCATATGTCTAAAATTTTTTCTTGTTGTTCTAATAAACGCTTTAAATATTGATCCATAGCTTTTTTGAAATCATCAATTCTTGTCGTTTCAAATGAGTCCATTTCATCTTTAATTGTACGTGATATTTGTTCAAATTCATCTTTACCACGATCAACTTTACCTTCCCATTCGTGTATTTCCAGTTCAGCGTGTGGTAATTTATCTGGATTTTTATTTGTTTGTTCC